TATATTTTTTTTTTTTAAATGAACCGTATATTACTTTTGAATACTTTGAAGTGTTCATTAATAATTTATATTTTAATACCGATCGCGCGTAGGAGTAGAGAATTAATTCGGTAATATTTTTTGAACTATAATACTGACCTAATTTAATACGGAAATTATAAAATGCTATTTTACATCTTATGAGTTAAGATTTTATTTATTTTTTTTTTAGATGATCCATACATTACTTTGTAATATATTTTAAGGTATTAATACATATTGTAATTTCTAGTATTGACTCATTCGTATACACCTACTTATTTTTTGAAATGATTCATAGTTTACCATTTCACTAATTTAAATGATCAATTTTAACTCTAAAAGAACCACATACTTTCGTTAGAATTTAGATGGCAATCTAGCGCTGAAGTTGATATTTTTTGACTATGTATATTTCATACAAGTATCCTGAATGAGGATTGAATATTTTAACGATTAGGTGAAAACGATTTGAGCTGGACCACAGTAAAAAGCCGCACGATTTTAATCTACGCTATAAAAAAAATATATATACATTCGAGAAGTCTACGCAATTTTAATTTACCGTTAATACGAAAGCATGGAACACTTAGCGAATTCACCATAAAACGGTGAATATACAATAGTAAAATATATACAAGTATATATCTTCGTATGAGTACCCCTAATTATGTAGCTTAAATATATCAAATTAATAATAGGTAACGTTATTATAATTCGCGCTTGGCTTAGCAATCAAATTCATGCTAATTGCAAGCTGTACAATGTGTTAATTAATTGAATTGTAAACGCTTCAAGGATGCATGATAACGGTATCTGCAAGTATTATTACTGTTATTGTTGCTTAGAAAATCAACAATAACTTACAATTATAATTTTCGATAAAATAGAATAACATAATATGATTAACTTTGACATATTATTATAACAATATAATGATCACTATTGTAAAAAGCTAATTAAAATGAAGTAACATAGTGTAATCCAACTTTTGTATAACTAACTTTTACTTGTCCTCGATAAAGTACAATGACCACTATTGTAAAAGTAAATGATACTTTGTGGGATAATTAAAAGAGGAATCTAAGAAGTTAAAGCAAAAAGTACAGACGGTATTTCGTGAATTAGAGCAACTATGCGCTCTAAATACCTAATTACTCCTCCATGACGATCACAATCTTAGCCTTGAAACGTTATTTTTTTTTGTTTTATTAACAATCCAATGGACAAAAATTCTCGATGTTTTAATTATGCGATTCGTCAAAGAGACCGGAACTTATTGACTTTCGGTTAATTTAATATAATAATAATAATAATATAATAAAATACAGTTATTAGAATTGGAACGTTGTAAGAATACTTGATGAAGCATATGTGATTTTAATTAAACGATTTCATTATCGATAGCATATTCCGCTTTAAATGAACTCGTCGAATCGTATCGATTATTCTAATTGTTATGTGAAAAATAAGAGAAAATAAGAAATCCGGGTTTCGAGGTAGGTTTTTATAACAGACTTCGGTTAGATCTCCTATGCTGTCGTGTTATTATCTGAAAATTGCGTAAATAAACGAACACGAGCACAGGCCGCAGCTTTCGAATAAGATCCAACTATTTCTAAGATTTTCTCAATCCCTGCTGTTTATCTTTTTGTTTTCTGAACTTCAATAATCTCACCTGCGTGCAAATTATGCAACTATGATAATATCTCTTAATTGTAAGAGATGAAAGAACAACCATTCCTAAAAATAAAAACGGTAAATAATAAATAAAAAATATAAACAAAATAGTGATGATTATATTCGCTATACCATAAAGGTATGAAGCGTAAACAAATAATGCTCTAACGACATATCTGTTAAATAAAAAAAAAAGAAATGGTGAAAAGAAGAGAAGAAACAAACCAAAGAATACAAATAAAAAGGAACCTTGGCGATCTGGAAGAGGGCTTGTCTTCTTGGTCTCTGATCCTGCTTCATGACTTCAAACTTAGAATACGATGAACTTAATGAAAATGATTGAACAAAACCGTTATTACGGTTATCTGATAAATAACACGATTAAAATCATCGATGTAGAAATTATTTGAATAAAGTTTGTATTTAAAATGACATTAGCCCGCGTAATAGTACGTCGAAACAATACACAAAACTTGATGGCACACACTAAGTAAGTATCTTTCTTGGCCGGGCGACGATGCAACAATGCCTGGATAGGGCTGGGACTGGTTTACGTCGATTACAGCGCCACCAGGGACTCCCGTGGTCAGGTAGAGAAACTATAATACTAAACGCGGGCCTCTTCTACTCCGATCTGCCGGCCCGTAGTACGCTATAGTACGTTATAGTAAAGCTGTAGTAAAGTTGTACATTCTATAGTACGATTCAACGTTCGGCTACCGGTCGGAGTCTTTTGACAGGGACGAACGAAACAACAGGATAACCGTTTCCGTCGCTACGTTATTTCATGTCTTTTGCCTAGCGGGACGTCCGAATATTAAAAATGAAAAAAAGTATAAATGAAAATTAATTCAATAAATATTATTTTTTTTTTTTCAGAATTTATTCTTTGTATCAAATTGAAAACAAAAAATATATAATATTTTTACGAAATATCCATTTTTGTTTATTATTTGAATAACGTTTTAAAAATTACAAAAAAGTTTCTGATGAATTAGTAAATTGTTGGTTTCATTGTAATATAATAGAGTTAAATGCTGTCATTGTCTAAATTGAGAAAGAGAGAGGTACATTCTCATGAATAAAAGAATAACCGTTTAGCTTCGGCTCGTACTCGAATGATAACATCGAGATATACGTTACATGTATATCTATATACATATGTGTACTCTCCGTCCCTGTTGTTTACTACAGTATACGCGTCGGCAGCCATCTTTACTACGAGGCCATGTCGTGGGTGCGAAAGGCCTGGGGTCAGTTGAGACGTACAAGTGGTGGGGATAGCCTACCTGAGTCCGTTCAGACAACTCTCGGAACTTACTAAGGTTTTTGATCAATGTAGAGGGAGTAAATGATGGAAACAGAGAAAGAGAAAGAGTTTCAAAGAGAAAAAGTTGTATGAAGGAAAAGGATTTCGGTACCGGTGAACCGGTCAAAGGAAAGTATGGAACTGACAAGCTTCTACGTCACACTACCCTATTTAATTTGTGGTATGTTAAATCGTTACTTTACTGGAAAGTTTGTGTCGTATATATATATATATATATTTTTTTTTTTTCGTGTACGTATGTATATATATTATTAAGAAGTTATATTAGTTTTGTATACATATAAAATCAAACCATTGGAATAATTGTAAGTCTTAAACAAATACCTTTTTTTTTCACTTACTGATTCATTTCAATTTTTTATTTAATTGAACATAATTTTCCAGACAACTTAACACCGCCTAAGATTGTTATCGTAATACATAATGTCATTTCATAATATTTCTATAATTTTTCTCTTTCTAACGTTCTTGTAAATAGGTTTGAGTCTGGTACGTAAAGAACATGGTATTATTACGATAGCGTTCTTACAACAGAACCGGTACAACAGTACAATAGTGTAAAGAGATTGGACGAGAGAACATTGAATTTATTCCGAAGGCAAAAGATGTATATATGCGTGCAGCAAGGATAAAACGTTCTGCATTCGTAATAATATCAAAAACCAGAAGTTGCAACGTGATCGTAAAATATATAAAAATATTTATTTGCCTAGCTTTACACACTTACAATTACATTGGCTTAAAATATTGAATGTATCTAAAGATGCAAGAAATGAAAAAAGAAAACAAAAAATATTATGATAAATAGGCAAGAAAATATTTTTCGTCTTGATTATTAAAGAGTAATATCGAGTAGGTCGATTTAATGAACACAAGTTAATCGGTCTTATTCCTACGTGGCGCCATAGGTGTCAGACTATTATA